TCAAAAATATTTAAAATAATAATTAAATAATGATCACAGAAACTCAATAAACCAACAAAAATGGCGAAAAATTAATAATTAAATAAAAATTACAAAAAAATATTTTAAAGAGTAAAAAGTCACGCGTTTACTTGTCAGACAAATATTTGCACAACAAACACAGTTTGAGGACAGACGGATTGTTGCAACCGAAAAGGGCCCGAACTTTTAATTGTCTTCGGAGACCCAGCGGAATTAATAATCGAACTCGCGGTTAACTGGTTTAAGGCTGCTCGACCCAGTTCGCCGGACTCCTTGCTGCTCGACCGTCCATTAAATTCATCGCTGCTTGAATTCGTGAAGGGTTGGGGGCCAAGGAATTAAGAGACAGGTTACAAGGATGTTCCGTGGTTTTTATTTCCGGCTCGGTGGGATAAGTCATCATCTGTCTTCGTTCACTGTAATATTCAGAAACATTAACGTTGGAACTGCTGAGTACTTAGACCTTTCGTCTCTGAATATGTATTTTTCCCTAAATCAAAGGGAGGACCAAGAATAGCTGCTTTCAAATGAAATTGAAGCTTCTCACTGAAAGAAATAAGATAAACACTAATAATAGTAATAATCAACCCCGTATGGTACAATTTTTCTTTATCTTTAACACTTTGCGGTCTGAATGAATTTTTTCTATTCCCAGTAGTTCGGTCCGAATTGATTTTTTACTTTTATCAGTTCATTATATACCGAAGAACTTTGTCTTAGTTTTTATAAAGCAGGGTGAAGTATAAAATAAGCTGAAAAACAGTTATAGGCCTTTATAGATTATTTTTAATACAAATTAATCGGTTAGCGTGCAGAAATAATTAAAATAATTATAATTCTTACATTTAAAAACTATGTCGAGTCAGGCTCGACGTCGGACTGCAAAGGGTTAAGGTGTTTTCTATTTTTCCGGTAATTTAAAATGTTTATATTAGCTATGTGTACCATTCGGGACGAATGTTTCGACCAATACTTCGTCTGCATGGTGTAGCTCTTTTTTAGTATTGAAATGAAAATATTAGATGATTATATGTGGCACATTCAATTAACGAATCGTATACATAACAATGTGAATAGGTTACAAGTATCAAGTATAAGTGAAAACAACGCTAGATTTCTTATGCATAATTTTCTACCAGTATTGGTCAGTAAATGCTTGAAGATCTGAAGTAAATAGGCACTACAAAAAATTAATAGAAAGTAAGACAAGCAAGTGGCACATTTGGAATAGTATAATGGCAAAAGTAATTATAGTAATAGAAGTTATAATAGCATTTACTTGATGTTTTTAGTAAATACTAACGGTTATACACAAGAATTTATTATTTGGCACTGGACCCATCAACCGATGTAGAGTTGTTGGTAACAATGCTTCGTTGCCCAATAGTATGTTACCCTTTTCTTTTTTGTTTTCTCATTCATTTATTTTTTCACGAGCCTCCACCGTGGCGGGGCGCAACACTTCAAACGCCGTGAATCCCGTAGGCAGCGCGGGAACATATTTTATTCATAGCCTGGGACGCTGGGTTCTTGGTAGCGATCGAAACGATATCGAATCGGCGATATCGATGCCACGAATTATTGTCGTGGACTCAATTTCAGGTACAATTTTTCGCGAATTTGTGGAATGCGCGGTTCTCGGTATTTCTTCCCTTTTG